GAGTCAACCCCAATGTGTTGTCAGCAAAGATCTGTGCATAATCTGCAAAAGATGTGTGCAATAGACCACCAATAGGCCCAAAACTGCAAGAGATGCTAAGGAACACATGTGGAAAAAAAGAAAAGGTGTCAGATGTCAGACACGTGCATGCATATGCTTCCTGCAAAGTGATTTTGTTTCACCTGAAATAAACTCAATTTTGTAACAACAATTATTTGTGGACAACAGAAAACTTCTTTAAAACGTTCTCTGGTAAAAATAGCAAGAAAATATATCACAGAATGAAACAATTGTTGCAATGTGTATGTATGCACTGTACTAGTCATTTGTTGTTGTTTTTTTGGTTTTGGTCATTTAATTTAAAAACTTTCTCAGGCATGAGTGAAATTCATCACACAATGGTCAAGTTGTACATATTGGGGATGTTTTTTTTCCTTCCAAAATTGTTGATATTTCTGTGAGGATTATAAATGGAACTTTATCCTCTGTTAGAGGCAGTATTTACAGCCTTATTACTATATATATTTTGTATCGTATTTGGTAGAAATAACTACCATTCATTTACTGTTCACACTTCAAGTGTTATAACGTTTAACTAACTAGGGGATTTGAATTGAAATGTTGGTTTATTTTGTCAATTATATGGTTTTCAATTAAAAAGAGATAATTATAAAGGACATATATATATATATATATATATATATATATATATATATATATATATATATATATATATATATATATATATATATATATATATATATATATATATATATATATATATATATATATATTATAAAGTAACCAAGAAGACTGATGTAAACATTCCAATACAAAAGAGAATAAATAAATACATAGGTACAGTCCATTCAAGCACAATTGAAAGAACAGCGGATAAGAGAAAGGGAAGTCTTGGATCTCTGTGCTCAACATGAACTGAACAGGAAAGGAAACCGTACAAAGTAAGAAATGACATGAGGTGACACAAATGACCTGACATATTGTTGCAGCTCAGAAGGGCTTGCAACATTCAATTCTGCTATTGTTTGAGAGCCTTTTTATCAGAAATGCAACACTTATTCACACAAACACCCACACATCACTTTCAGTACAAAATCCCCCACACTTCACCTCCAAATCCCCTTTGTGCACTTGTCCTTCTCCTGTGCTCACAGCAAGCATGTGCTTCACTTGGTTATAATTCCCCCCATGTACCCTGAACATAACCCAGTAGCAGCTGCAGAGAACTTTGCCTTCCAGTTTGAATAAACAAAAAGGTGGAGAAAAAAGGAGGAATCTCTTGTTCAAGCTACATACAGTTAAAACTGGATAATTACTGTATAAGAACAACTAAGCTGTTTTTCCATCACTGCCAAATATTAATTAGATATTTTTTAGATTGTGTATTTTCCTCATCAAACCTAGAAACTAACAGGCCTCAGTATTTTTTTTGTTTTGCCCTTGAAACTGTACAATGTGGGTCAAACATTTTGGGTTTTACTTTACATCTTTTCAGCGATGTTAACAATTTTTTTGGAAAGCATTACTGAAATTATATGAGCTTTTCCATGGTCAAAACACTGGTTACTCCAAAGAGTCCAATTATTAATGAACACAAAGTGTTTTCTTTTCTGAGGTGTTTTTCTCTTTTGCCAGTCCCTCTTCCTCTATGACTTTTTAGACCAAAATCAATGTAGGACTAATTTTACTGACAATCATTTTGCAGCTTAAATCAGAATCTAAAAGTCTATTTGTTCTGTTCTAAAGTTTACAGGCATACTTTAAATGTATATAAACCCATTTTTTCTGATACCTTCTAAGTCTTCTTTTGTTTTTGTTTGGTTTGTTTTTTTCTTTTCATGATGTCCCACAAGGATTATCCACAAGTCTCTTTCCATTTTACTCTAACATTGTGAGTTAACTTAAAATGCCAGAAATCCCCATATAATGATTCACATTTTCTGTTGCGATTGTAATAATTCTATATGTAACACAACATTTTTATTTAAAGCCAGTGATTAAAAAAAAAATTGTGTGTTTTTATTCAATGTTTATAAACATATCTTTTCAACTGGAGAAATTATTAATTCTCTCACAATATACTCAAGGGGATTGTTGGCCTCGTGGGTTAAAGCAGTGCGCTTGTGCTCTGAGAAGGTTGCAAGTACCGGGTTAGATCCCCACAGCCCTGTAACCCCTGATTGCTCCCCGGGCGCCACACAATGGCAGCCCCCTGCCATCCAAGGGGATGGGTTAAATGCAGATGTAAATTTCTCCAATTTTAGATCAATAAAGTTTCGTTAAAAAATATCAAAATACATGTTCTGTAAAAAAGTATTTTGACTACATACAAATCTATATCTACTGTAAAGAAAACATTCATAGTATCAAAGTGCAACTGATCAGAAAGTGGAAATTTCCTTTTTTTTTTATTCAAAGGAAATGTTTACCATGTCCTGCAATTTGAAAATCATATTTATTCAATTACAATTGTTAAAAAAATGTGAAAACCAAACAAAGCTTGCCTTTTTTTTATTACACCTATTTTATAAAAGATATATTCCAGAAGTCCCCAGCAATGCTAACTTGTGCATAGAAATGATTTGACATGACAAGATGATTAGTCACAGGGCACTGACTGTGCAAATTTGTCTCCTTCATAAAATAACTGTATGGCACTGAGTGAGCTATATTCCCAGCACTTAATCACATAAAGCGGATTACATTTGCATGTTTCAGCTGTGAGGTAGAGGCAAACCAGAGGAGCAGCAAATTGACTTAATAATCTCATCTGACAAGTGACAATTTCTCCACTTCTGTTCTATCAGAAACATTATGTTTGCTGCTCAGTTTGATGCGTCTGGCTGCGCTGATGATTCAGCATGTAAATGTGCCATAGGGACTGATTTAACAACTTTGCTGTGAACGAGTGAAAGAACTAGTAATAATGTGGTGGAACGTGCAAATCACTGGCAAAGGAAAAATTGTAAATCAGATTGAACGGTGTTCACAGCAGCAATAAGGGCTGACAGCTCGCAGCCCATGCACTTTCCAATTGTATTATTTGACTATACAACTCATAAAGTATTACTATCTGTAAAAGTATTTAGAGATTTAAAGATCCACTCTGTAAATGATTCCTAGTTACTGTTTTGTTTTAACCCAGGCCAGTTCTGTATAATTTAGAAACATACACACATATCATGTAAAATAAATATGTATATTTTTGAAAAGTAAATTTTTCAATATTTAAACTCAAAACACTACTTTCAAAAACAAATAATAAAACGGTATATTTTAAGTGATTGCTTTTCTTACTTTCTTTGATTATTACTTATAACTAATAGTACAGAGACAGACAGACAGACAGATGAATTTGTCTGTCAGATTTAGGAAAATCAGGATTCTTGCTGCATTTGGTGAGCAAAACTCGAACAAAGTAGTGTCTGTCTGAATAGCTGTACTGTTTTTTAAACAAGTGCGCATAATATTATATTATGATAATATATATAAAACCCAAAACTGAAACTCAAACTGTTGTATTGGAATACAAACTCAATCTTTTTTTTTTTTTTTTTGTCTCAATAGAACACAGACTCAATCCTTTTTGACTGGTTTTTGTTTAAAGAGGAAATAAGAAGGAGTAAAATGATATAATTGTGCATACACCCCATAAGTAAAAAAAAAAAAAAAAATTACAAAAAAAATAATAACTCAAGTGACTGGTTTTAAGTTACAAAATGAAAGCAGAACTCGACCTCTCCTTCTTTCTTGGCCCTCTTTGAAACTGGTACCGCCAATCTTTTCCACAGTGAAACAAGGTTCATCTCTGCCAAGTTCAGCGTGGGTCAGGGAGCTGAACCAGAGCCAGGAAGTCTGGTTAGTGTTTAAGCTGAACAGAGCACTTCTGATTTCTGATTTCATTTAACAGTTTAGCCGTTATTTTCTATTTAAGAATGCCTTGCTGTGATGCCTGGATGAAATCCCAACAAGGGAACAGATGGGGAGCATAATTCAGTACTCTCACTATCTAGAATCCGGCAACACCCTTAACCTGTAGCATATTCTGGAGGCAATTCTCTTAAAAAAAAAGAAATAGGATGTGGCTTTAAGTGTATTACTACATGTCATACTGACTAAAAAAGCACTCCACATAGAGTCAGTCTGGGGACATTAGTCCAACAGCTGAAGGTTGGATGAAATGACAGTCATCCACTGGGACAATAATCTCAAACACACAGATAAAAAAAAAACCTTTCGAAATGCTCTTACAAGTTCTTAGGAGAAAACTAGGGAATGCAAAAAGGAAACTTGAACAAATCATTTCTCATAAATGCAACGATGTGAGGGCTAAAATTCCTGCACCTCTCTTTACATAATGTGACGAGGTTAGACAAAGAGCAGTGTCCTACAACTATAACATGGGGATGTTTTCATATTTTAACGAAGTACCTTTCTTTGACCTGGATAAGTGAGAACCTTCACCTTCATTAAGTACCTTTCTGCTTTTGAGTTATTAAATAAAATACATAATCAGTTGTTAATATGAAACAAGTTTTTTATATGTAGAAACTAACTAAAAGGATGATTTTCAATTAAACCTTCAGCTTCTTGTTTCAGTACATTAACATAGAGAACAAAAGAAGCATCAAAAGGTACTTAACAAAATATAGTTTTATTTATTTTTTTCATTTACTTATTGTTAATGATTATAAATTATTTATTATTTGGGATGAAATAAGTACAAGGGGATAGGCCAAGATCTTTTTTTTTTTTTACCTGAGCCCATTTTTTTATAACAAAAAAAGTTCTTTATGTGTGTGCTATTTAAATTGGGCAGATGTGTATTTATATGTATACAAACTTTTGTCTGTGTGTATTGATATGTATTGGATTTGTTGCCTATCATTTACTTCATATGAAAAAATAAATAAATAAATACAAAAATAATAATGTCAGGAAAAGACACTTAAACATAATAAAAGGAAATAAATGCTCACTCCTGCTCCTCTCCTCCTCCATCTTGGGGTAGGCCATGTTGCTGCTTGGGTAGGCGTCATCCTCCTGGCTTGGTGTTGATCCAAGTGGATAACTTACAGGACGGGAGGTGGTTACAGAGCTGGATGGTCGGGAGCTTGCACAGTTCTACAAAAAAATGACCAGTTAGAATATGATTTGTTAATTAAAAGAAGAACATTATTCGGTCCTCTTACCCTGTTGTGTTATAACGTATAAATGTCCTTTAACTTTGTTTAAAATTTTCTTACTTTGAAAGTTTCATATTAATACATGAAACTCAATGTAGAACCTTAGTTTATACGTGCTCATTATCTTTTGTTCCCAATGCAATGGACTTTTAATTTAACAAGAATTACCTGATTTATTTCTGCTCTATGCTCTGTCTACATAGAGTTTGGAGGTTCCACCCATTCTTGTGTGGTTTCCCAGGTACCCAGGCTTCCTCCCATAGTCAAAAAGCATGACTACTGACTTTTATTTCCAAACTGAAATTTCTTACATCAATGGTTGTTTGTATTTTGTGTCTCTGTTTTGTTCTACAATAGACAGACAACTTGTCCATGGTGTACCACACCTCATGCCTAATGATTGCTGGGGATAGACACCAGCTCCCCCAAGACTCTCCATTGAAAAGTACATATAGACAATAGATGAAATGAAAATGTATTCAACCTGGAGAGACTCACACAGAGAAAAGCTGCAATTAGAAAATATTACATTTATATATGGGTAACACAATCATATTCTGTAAAATATTTCTATCTAAGGAAAACCTGCTGATTGCAAGAATTCATTGAATCTCTCCAATCCCTCACATTAAGCATGCATATAGCAACAGTGGAAAGGAAAACTCCCTTTTAACAGGAAGAAACTTCCAGCAGAACCAGGCTCAGTGTGAGCGGCCATCAACTCTTACTTGGAGAACAGGGACTTTTTTGTCAGTAGGTAACTTTACATCTGAGACCAGAAAAATGCCATATGGGTTCTCCAAATGTCCATCTTAGGGCCGCTACTATTAAATATGTACCAGGTTCACCTGAATCAGCTTAAAACAGACAAAACATAAGTTACCATAACTATGCAGATGACACAGAGCTGTACCTTCTGATGTCACCAGATGGCTATGAACCCAGTTAAGCAGTGGGTAAACACATAGAAAAAAACAAAAAGAAAAAAATAATGCATTGCTTTGCAAGAATCTTCTTTAGCTCATTCAGGTATCACCTGAAGAACATTTCCAAGATTAAATGATTAAAGTCTTAAAAGGCTTTTCTAAACTAATCCATGTTTTTATCTTTAGTTTATTTGATTACAGCCTTCATACTTCTGTCTAAAATATTAATCATACAGTGGAAGATTACCCAGAATGCTGCTGCCCACATCCTCACTAAAACTGAGTAGAGCCAAATTCAAAAGTCTGTCCACTGGCTCACCATATATCAGAGAATATGCTTTAATATACTTCTGTTAGTCCATTAAATAACTGAATGGCTTAGCACCAAAGTACACTACAGCCTTCTTGTCAGTTTATCAACCATCCAGATCTCTCAGGTCTTCTGGCTTAAGTCTACTCTACAAAACCAAAAACGGATAAGCAACTTATAGTTCTCATGCTTTGCAAATTTGGAAGAAACTCCTAGGAAAACTGTTAAAGTCTTGAAACCCTACGTTGCTTTAAAAGCTAGAGGGAAAAAAAAAAAAAAATTTTGAGGTCCCGTTTTTTTTTTTTACCTTTTTCGATAATACCACTGCAACGATTCACGTCTGCGTATTTCTATTTCTTATGTTCATCTTCATGCAATGCACTTTGATATGTCTTGCTACAGAAATGTGCTTTTTGTGACTTAAACCCCAAGCAACAAAAGCCTAACTTTGTTAAGGTGAGTCCTGCAAAAAATATGCAGTCAGTCCTGTCCACCTGTAAAATCTACTTATTTCATTTGATTGATTTGAAGTGGTATGTCTGATTTCTAAATATTAAAAAATAAAATCTCTTCCTTATTTATATCTATATTTCAAGGGTGTTATGGCCGGGAAGCAGCGGGAGGAGGGAGATTTTTATTTGGACTCTGCAAGTGACAGCTTTATTTCACAAAGCAATCTGACTGTGTGTGTGCTAAAGGGAGGTCAGGGTAGGTCAAGAGGTATGTAGCATCACACGGGCCGGCGACACAGCTAAAAGTGGCAATGTATGTCTGAGTATATTTATATATCCATACAACACAGCGGTTTTAGAAAGAGAGGATGATTTGTACACCCGAATATAGAACAATAAGGAGGAAGAGGTCGAAAGGGGTCGACAACAGTGTGGAATTTAAAAAGGTGCAATTTCCTGATTGGGTTTTATGGAATTTCATAAAAGAATTTTTCAAGGTTGTGTGTATCTTATCAAGGTGAAATAATCTATTTGTAAGTTGAATGGTTGGTTGTTGATTTAAACTACTTAAAATGTGCGTGCTGTCAAAATATTGTAAATACTAGAAAATATCTGTTTTAAACCTTTCAAGAAAATCCAGTTTATGATTTTCTAGGAAAATATACATTTTCATATCAATCATGGAAAAATAGCAGGATTTTGTTTAGAACTGTTAATTTTGATTGAGACAAATTGAAAAGGAGACAAAGTTAAATATAGTTTTTCTATATTTAAATCCTTAAAATGGTTTATAAGTGAACTAACCCATTGGATTAAATCTTCACAGCCATATAAAAAAAAACATATAAACCTCCTTTGTCTCTCACAAGTGCAATATGTCTCCAAATAACCCCATATGCCGTAACAGCATCAAAAATCCTCTTTACACTTCACCTCATAGGAGCAATACCCACTTCTATGTTTTACAACAAGAGGATATATAGGGGCATGTGCGGTCATCTAGAGCCAAATGTCTCCTATCTAACCACAGGACAGGTAGATAGTGTATTTCAACCAGGATTTATAGCACACAACAGCATTAGCTAAAACCTATCAGGTGATGGTGATGGCTTAAAAAAAAAACATCCTGCTGGTGGAACCTGGCAAGATTGGAAAATTGCAACGATGGGAGGGGAGAAGATGTAGTGAAATGATGCTAGTTGGGGGTTCCTCAATAATAACACCAGTAGCCAACATGTTAGGCTGCACCTGGTGGTAAACTCCGCACACTGACATTTACACATGAACTTTTTACCCTATTTGTTTATGTCCTCCCATCTTTAAGTTCCCATCTCAGGCTAGAAAAGGCCAAAGGGAAATGTAAGGGCATGGTGAGTTTTCAATCTCCTGCTCATAAATGACTTCAAGGGAGAGGTTAAACTACATGTGTGTGGGTCAGATTGCAGAGGGAGGAGTAGGAATACGTATCTCCTGAGATTAAGTGTGACACAACAGCAAGACTGTGTGTGTGTATGTGTGTGGTTGAGGGGGGGGTCATATATGATGGAAGATGCACACAACGTGCACCGTGTTGTCGGTAGGAGAGGTTAGAGTGATGAGTGCGTGTTTATAAAAGGATAAGGTTCATAATTGCTACGTTAAGTGCAGGCATTGTGTCTTTGCATGTGCCAGACTTTTAAAAGGTGCTGCGTCTGCAACAATCTTTCTTTGGGAACAGACACGCAAACACACACAAGTAGTATGCCACACTTTCAGCTAAACAGCAGCGTCCAACAGGGTATAAATACTGCTCTGACACTTTAATGTCAGGGGATGGCTTCTCCTGGATTAGAAACTTGTAACCCACTGCAGAGCTTGACATTGCTAGGATGAAGGTGATGCAATTTGGAAAAGGGGGAAGGGTTGAAGGGGTGTGGGGCTATTATTGGAGGGTCTATGTTTGATGTATAAGGGCATCTAACATAGACTGTCCACTAGTAAGGGGCTATTAGATGCTGCTTTGAGACTGGCTTTCATCGGCACAGAGGAGTTGCTTAATCCCATGAGAAGCAGAATTCAGTTAGTCACAGACACGTTTAACCACATAATCCAAAACAGCACTAGAAACTTTACTTCAATTAAAAATGAAAACCACTTACAGAAAAATTGAGCGCTTTTCTTCTTTCCTTGATCCTATTGACAGTACTCCAAACCTGGAAGTAAGAAATAGACAAAAGCAATAAATATAAATATATTAATACTTAATGAACCACATTTAGTGAATAAAAAGAAGATTAAAAAGTTAACACTAAAAAGTAAGAGAAAAATTGAATATTATTAAGATTTGTCTAAATTCATGATAATGGAAGAGCTTGTGTGGCGTAAATGTGCATGTGAGGATGTTCCAGTGTGTCCCAGTGCTAATGGGACTTGAAAGTGACACATAGAGCTGGTTCACTAAGGAGACGAGTTCAAGCTATCATCTGTCAACATGGAGCGGAGGGGCCAACAAATGGAGCTATTCGAGGAGAAGGGACCGCCCTAGCAGAACAGATTACATTTTTACACTCGAGATGAAACTGTGTAGTTGCACACCTTTATTTAACACATATATAACACCACAAAAGACTTCCACTGATGTGTTGTGACAGGCACATATGTGTACATTGAAAAATATCAATCACTAAAAACTAAACGGCATAACTGTATGAAAAAAATGTCTGTAAAAAATGAAGACGGTTTGGGACAGGCTTATTGTTTCAGCTACTGAAAAGGTAAATGGAAGACAAGTAATGTTAAACTAATGGAATAGAATAACTGATCATAAATGATATGAGTACCTTCATTAAAATGACATTTTGGCAGTTTAATATATTCAGGAGCTTGTTAGATTTACACATCTGCCTCTTCTAAGGAACCTGATATCTACCTCTTCAGTCATGGTGTTTTTCCTTTTGTTTTAACTGCATAAAAAAAATCTTTCTGCATTAATTTGTGCAGGCCTGTGCAGACACCATTTTTTTACGTCATGTAAATAGCATTTTAAGGTGTTTTGTCACCTAAATTTTACTTTATAAATAAACTTGCCTCATCTAACCTTGCCTCCTTTGTGGCCACAGTGACCAAAGACAGTTTTCCTTGACTTTGTACCTGACTTTAAACATACATATAGACTAAAAAGTTTAGCAGCAATCACATTAAGGTTTGAGAAATCACTTCGCAGGTTGTAAGTATTTTCATTTGAATATCCTCTAACTTACATTTGCATGGTTTGGTTATAAGAATATGATCTGTGCATTTTTAAGAAACACACACAAAAAATGTTGCATATGCTTTTTGTTGAATTGTACACACAAATAGTTTTGTACCATATAAAAAGCCTTTGCCTTTGCTCTTCTTGTGAAAAACTGTGAAAAACTGTCACTGTAGTGTAGCAAAGGACCCATACACAGTCACATAGGCAGGCTGAGGGAGAATGGTGAGTAGTGAAGTTTAATGTAATGTAAGATTACATTGAGATTAGTGTTACAAAGCATGTATGGCCTTGAAAAAGGCATGACAAAGACTGTTCAGCGAAAAAAGCATGGAACCAGTATTCAGCAGAAAGAAAAGATGTAATAAATTAAACCTGTCATAAACTAAACTAAAATAATTTAGAGCAAAATGACAAAAGAATAACAAAGTTTGGGGAAAAAAATTTATACGAACATCGAAAAAATAGACCAATATGGCAAGACTTAAATTGCAAAGTTAATAACTGGCTAACACAAGACAAAAAACACAAATTTCACAAAAACACACACAAATGCAAGCAGGAAAGATAGCTTAGCCTCTAAAAAACCCAAATCATGACACAAACAAATTTGCACTTTATCATGTACGAAAACCTTTCAAAGATCAGACACTTGGTAAATAACAGCTAATGCCTTAATGGTACACTATGCAACCGGTGTTGATTTTCCAGTGAGGCTCCCTCCAGAGGGCGAAAGTAAAAGTGCACTGTCGTAAATATGCTCAGCTGTTCTCGTGGTTTCTCCGTCAAGCCAGGCGCGGTTGTTTTGAGCCTAGCAGCGAATGACTAACGCTGCGTTCACACTGGACGTAGCTGGCGCGACAGAAGCAGCGAGTTTACATGCAAAGTCAATGGTTGACGCGCGCGTTTTGAGCTGCAGGCGCAGCACGTCTGAGTGGCTTCAGCAGCGCGTCGGGTGCGTTTAACGCAGGGAGAGAGACACAGCGCTGATGATCACTGCTCTTAAACAGTTTATTGACGCCTAAATTAACTTAAAAGGCAGAAATCTGCCGGCAGAATATGCAGTTTGGATTATTTAGATGAAAAACACCTACCAGCTGCCGCGGTGAACCGCTGCTGATGAAGGGATCCATACTGTCGGCGCATCCCTGGTATGTGGGGGGTCTAAGCGGCTCCGACAGAAAAAATATTGAAGGCAGGATAATAATCTGAATGAACTGACTGCACTGATTACGTTTTCAGGTGTATTTTCTCACTTAAAAACATATTAAAACTACTTTATTCCCACTGATCACAGCAAATATAGCTGCAAGGCAGAGAAAGGATAGTGAAGCTCCGCCCAACGCGCCTCAGACACACTTTTGCAGCCAGAGCAGCAAAGCTGCTTCAGCGGCGTGTCAGAACTAACTGGTACAAGCAGCAAAAATGAAGCAGCAAATGCGATTTTGCTGCTTTTGCTGCGTGAACGTAGCATAACTGCACAAAGATTGCCACTGTGCTAGCAACGAGCATGCTTTTAACTGGGGGTGTGTAGCAGTTCTCGCCGTAAAGCAAGACTGACTCTCACGAGACTTCTGAGCCTGTGGGTGCGGGTCGGTGCTCCTGTAGTTGCAAGTGCAGTATTTCCCCCACAGACCACCAGGGCGGCCGAGAATACCTTTGTTCAACCTGAAATGACTCATTTAGTCATCCATAACGTTATGGAACACATTAATTAACTGAAAAATGTTGCATAGTGTCCCTTTAAGTGGCAACATCAGCATAGATGCATGTAGGTGTGATAGTCGGCAGTACGCAAAGTTAAAGTATTTGCAGTGCTGACAGAAGCTCTGTAAATTAAAGGTTTCCTGGACACGATCCAGGCCCAGAAATGTGCAAGGCAAACGTTGTGCATATATACTGTATGAGATTTTACTTTTGGAGACTCGCAGCTGGGGATCCTGGCATTAGGACACAGTTTTTATTTATTTATTTATTTATTTATTAACTATGGCAATACCCAAACCTTGATAAGACAGACCAGTGCTATGAAATATTTGGACTGTTTGTCAGTTGGTGTGTTGAAAGAGCTTTGTGCTATCTGATCATCATCAGTCGCCTGATTTAGCATGATTGGTCATTTCTAGGCTAGTGACCATAGTCAGCAAATTGGCTGTTAAGTTGACTATCATCTCGCTGTGAGAGAAGAGAAGCGTACTCATGACGTCACCATATGATGAACTCATTATTATTAGTAGTTATTAGTAGTCTCTAGAAAACAATTAATTCTTACTTTTTTTTTTAGTGGGGAATGAAAATGAACACAGTCCGATAAAAACAAATGAACATTTTGCAAAAAAGAAAAAAAAAATCATCATCTGAGCCAGTGGTACTTCAAACACTGCTATGCCAAGAGAGGGCTGCTGCAGACAGACTAATGTTAGCCCTGGCTGCAGTTAGCCTCGGAGCAGCTAGTTGCTGTAGTCCTCTCAACATCTGAACTTTTTTTTAATTACGCACCAAATCAGTAAATGGGCCATATAATGATGCTTAAAAGTATAATTTTCTGGATTTTCAAATGATCTAAAAACTTACTTTTATAGAACAAAGGCAACAGAAAAGTGAACTTTTAACTTAATACTCTGAGCTCTATGAGCGCCCCATTGGCACCTATGCTGCCGCAGTGCATGCTGGGACAGCTGTCAATCTCAAGAACGGACATGTTGCTCGGATGCATACTCTGTAAAGAGGGAGGGGCGAGGACAACATCCAGGGACTGTCTGTTCTTGGTCTTGTGTTCTTGTGAACTGGAACAGTGCTAGGGCTGAGGCTAATGACATTTTACAAGCACATGAGAACGCACAAGTACACATATTGAGAAACTGCCTTTATCATTTTTTGAATGAAAAAAAGTGTCTAGCTTAGCCTTATGCATGCTATTTGTCTAAATACTGTACAGTAAGCCAGGTGTTTTGCAGGTCCCTTGGAGCAGTTAAGGAGAACTGACAACTCATGGTGTTATGGCTTCTTTGCACTTTTCTTTAAAGTGGATTATTGACCAATCATGTTTTTTACAAACTCCAATCATGCAACAAATGTTGCAGTTGGTTCTTCCAATAGATTATGCCTTACACAAGGTTCTTTCACAAAAGTCAATCTGACCAACCATGTCTTGCACAAACTGCGTCCAAACCCCAAAAATTCCCACTTAGTCAATCCAAAGGCTCCCACTATAAGCAAATTAGTTATCAAAAAAAAAAAACTAACCAAATGCAGAGTAAATGTAAGTCTTTTTGCAATACAAAGAAGAATAAGTTCCTCCAAAATAATGCTACTAACTCACAAGGTCATACAGAATAGTTCTGTTTTCACAAACTGAAATCTGATCAAAGAATTTTGGTGGTGTCATCATCTTGGCACTGATGACTGACTTTATGGTTAATTTCATTCACCTGCCTAGCTCCGCCCGATTTCTCATCATTGTTCATTTATCCACCTGCTCCTGCCTCTATTTAAGCCGCTTACTCCCAGTAATCAGTCCCATATTATTCGAGCCTTCGGTGAGAGTTCTCTAGCATACCTGTTGTTGTTCTCAGTACCTGATCCTGACCAGTCTATCCTCAGACCTGAGTCTGCCTGTACCTGTTTTGGATTTGCTTAACTGACCTGTCTTCTGACTCATTCCAGTCTCTGCCTTTGGACTGAACCTGGATCTGCCTCCTGACTTCGACTTGGATTTCCCCTCAGTGCCTCTTCGGATCTCTGATCTTTTGGTCTGGACTCCTATTAACCTCTTTGTCACCGGCTTTGGCCTCTTCTTCTGGAAACTCCTGCCCTCCTTTGTCCGATTGGATGTGTTTGTCAGCCAGATCAACAGTCTCCAAGCTCTGGCTCCTCTAGCTCCCTGGACAGCGTTCACCGCATGCTGTTGTTAGCCATCCAGTTGGATTCTGCTCCTTCTTGTGGGCACAGACCAAACAC